GGTGTAACACGGTGCTACTACCACCATTGATGTTGCCGTATAAGTGCGACTCAATGCTCTGATAGCGAAAGGGGGAAAGACGCCGCCGAACCTTAAACGACGCCAAAGGAACGTCATGCCTATATTCGCGTCGTCAGCAACCGTGCTCGAGGACCTCGAGGCAACTCCAGTCGAGATAAGCAAAATCTCTTGTTGATGTACGAGTGTCGATGTGCGAGGAATCACTTTAACAAAATTCAATGGTTTTTAATGTAGACTCCAAGTTACCTATGAAACCCAAAGGGAAAGTCACAGATCGAAGCAAAAGTCTTGGTGAAGGGTCTGACATTCCACTGAAAAAGTAGATAGTCCTGCCAAGTAGACTCTATCCTCCTACTCTGCATGTCCTTCCAGTGTGACCAGACCGCTTCGATGAAGCTTTCATAGTTACTGTTGATGTTACTAGCTGCACCAAGGCTCGAGATAGTTGGGCCCTGCTCGCTGATACGCATGAGGCGAGTCAAGGTGACGCCCGACAAGAGATGGTGATCTTCAGCCAAGCCCGTGGTTGTGTCGAAGCACCGTTACGCGCAGCGGTGGTCCTCCCTATGAGGACTCGGGTAACTAGTGGGAGTAACCGAGGTACCATGGGTTGACTCCCTTTCTGCACACTGCGCATGAGAAGCATGACTCGTCTTTTCCTTAACACGTCTACGACGTACCTTGACTATAACATCAGTGTCACGATTACGTGGCACTTCGGTAGTCTTTCCTGAACGTGTAACAACCATTCCGAACTCAGATAACTCAAAGCTAGACTCTGTGAATATATATCGACAATCCATAGCGACAACCTTAGTCCTCAGATGACTCAAAAACCCTAAATCCATAAGGGTTCGCAAAACCATAGCGAATGATCCAGTGCCCAATAGAGTGCAATCAATGGTCACAAAACTATAGCAACACAATGAAGACCCTATTATCCATATCCTCCTCATATAGATATGGATCCCTATGTAAGCTAGTATAAGTCAGTAACTAGTAAAAGCCTTGTATAGAACTTATACCGGACTCAACTCAGCCTACTCAACTTATAAAAGCCTATACGTAAACACACAGCAGCGTGAAAGCAGCACGCATGTACATAAAGTAGCGCTCGCCTATGACCGGCATCACAAAATCCTTAGTGTCATACCTCGCGCCGTACGGACGCGCGCACCGTTCCACGGATGCCGTGGAGCTAAGTAGGCACATCACGATGGCACACATCTTGGCATGGTTCGGATACAAAGAAATTAGACGAGGTCCTCGTCTGATTTCTTGTCCTCGTCACGAGGATTACCCAAGAAGTGACCATGGAAGTCTCCGTCATCAGGTAGAGGCGAGTGCCCAACTTGGGCAGCCCAAGATCTGTCCTGAGAGAAGACGTGTACATGCGTGCAGCACCCAACAAACTAAGATGGCCCGGCACTTGAGTGCACCTCAGTGGTGCGCGAGTCGTTGTTCTGTACGCACTCAGGGTTCCCGTAAATGCACCTGAAGTACGCAGCGAGCACCTGGATAAAGCCCTGGTAACGTCATTATAAATGAATCCAAGAACGGTTCTTGAAGAATCACTTGCCCATTATGGTGAAATTCTCATCACTGGTCTTAGTGCTAGCTTAACCCTTTCGACCAACTTCTCTCCGCATGTCACCTCAATTCAGATCATGCTGACTTTAAAAATCGCCGTAACTGAACCATAGTGAGTAACGACTCTTTTCTCCCTTCTCTATAGCCTGTAGTATATCGGAGAAGACCGTCAGCGCTCTCCCGTTCCCATAATTGTGCCCCTCTTCGGCTATACCTTCGCATGAGGTGCGCTCTCCTTTGTCTACTAATAGTGAAAATAGAGCATAGCCAAATCAGCAGAACCTAGGAATAGTCTTCCGTTAATCCGGCCTTTCTCGTTCTTCTCCGCTGAGCGGTCTAGTTCAGCGTTGCTATCGCGCGCAGCCTCGATCAATTTGATCGTCAGGCTGACGTCAGCTGAGCTCGTGGGGAGGCCGAAGAGGCTGGGAGGGCTAGGCTTCGATCGAGATGTCTTCATCCGAGCTTCCTGAGCCTGTGACCCTGAGCAATAAATTCTACCTCAGAAGTTCTGAGTCAGAACGAGAACGCCGACTCCCGACTCACTCGTTTCCATCTCGATCACTGGCGAACTCTCCACCTTTTCCCCAAGGATCTTCGACGCCTTCGGTAGCCGAGCCTCGATGGTTGAGGACAGTCTGGCGGACGCGTGCAAGGTCACATACGTGCCGTGTACAGTATATGATGCACCCTTCCCAGTCGAACGGGTCGATTGTGCGCCCACATCGTCTCGAGTCGAGACTCCTCCGGAGCAGCCATGTCATACGATCCGAAGACGACGGTCGCCGACACGATGGGGGCCGTATTCCGAGCCTGCTCCTCGCAGGGTCAACCGCTGCAATGTACCGAGCGCCTCTTTCTTGCAGGGTCGAGAGCTGCAAGAGCCCGAGCGCCTCTTTCTTACAGGGTCAACCGCTGCAACAGCCCGAGCGCCCATGTTGGTCACCAGAGCTTCCCGGATGTGAAGTACCGGGAAAGGGCTAGGGGTTTAGTACTTACTGCCTCGTCTCTCACGGTCGCAAATCCTTGAGCTTCGACTTGCTCCCACAGGTCCAGATACTGCAGCCATCTCATAGCCAAAGTGGCTGCCCCGTAGGAGGTGTTGTAGCCTCCTCGACTGAGCTCACATTTCTTTCCCATTTCCTTCCGGAAAGAAATGCAAAGAATGGATAGCAAGGAACTATCGCTTTGTTTCCAGTGGAAACTTTCCACGAAACAAAGAAACCCGAAAATTTCGGGTGGTGTTTCGGAGCACATTTCTTCCACTGCTACCTCGATAATATGAATCGCTCTCCATCCGTACTTTCAGAGGAATCCTTCCCGAATGAATTTGGTAATGGTCGCAATGTATTTTGGGCGCGCGCGAAAATTGTCGCAATCCACAGGAATCTTAACGTTGAGGAATTGCAAGTGCCCGCGAGTAGTCGAAGAGGATTGTATCCCCCCTTTCGCACCACAAGATGTCATGAATAACATGTCCGATGAAGGAAGGGTGATATGTACATTATCGCATTTCGAGGAGAGCATGTGCCTCGACAGTGTCGATCACGCCTGGTACGGGATAGTGCTCGAGTTGGTCATAATCTTCTACTGCTTCGGTATGCTATCCTTTGCTGCTGACCACCTGTGCAACTCCATGGAGACTCTCTGTGACCACTGGGACGTTCCTGAGGATGTTGGTGGTGCCACATTCATGGCCTTAGGCGGAGCGGTTCCCGAACTCACCGTCAACTCTGTGGCGACTATGAAGTCCCTATTGAAACAATCGCGCACCGACCACCCCGAAGATGTAATCGAAGCCGAGTTGGGCGTCGGAGCCATCCTGGGCAGCGGCCTGATAGCCTTCCTTGCCATCCCCGCCTTGTGCGCCCTCGTCACCCTAGACGGGCGGCCCCTGGCCCTCAAGAGGCACCCTCTTACTCGAGACATATGCTTCTACATGCTGGCATTAGGTCTGCTAATGTGGGCTCTCCGGAGAGGGGTCGACTTGGCAATATCCTCTCTCGAACTGCTCACTTACGTCATCTACGTTCTGGTCCTATGCTACTCACGTAAAGTCAACGCCTGGTACAAGCAGTGGAAGGTGAGTCACGTCAGCAACCCCAGAGTCCTTTTTGCCAAGGAGTCCACCTCCATTTTCCGAGAGCGTTACGACTCCCAACGCTCACAGCCGTTACTACAGTCTGCCCATCGGCCTCGGAAAAAGCGTGTGCCTTCTCCTAAGAGCGTTGTCGTAGCGTTGATGTCGCCATTGAAATGGGCTGTTGATGAGACCTGCCCCGACTGCAGAATATACCAACCTCGGGAAGGTCTTTACCCTCTGACTTTCATCGCATCCTTCCTTTGGATAACCCTGGCCTCGTTCATCCTTGGGACTGTAGTAGATCGCTGGGTAGTCCTACTAGGGCAGCCCTCAAGCATGGGGTATTTTGGTCTCATCTTGGTCGCTGTAGGAGCTGAGATTCCTGATACCGTCAATGCCATTACAGTAGCCAGTCGTGGGTATGGCTCTATGGCAGCTTCAGCGTGTATGGGCTCTCAGATCATCAACATCTGTGTGGGCTTAGGCTTGCCTTGGACGCTAGCCTGCCTTGCAGGAGGCTCTATCCCCGTGGACAAGCGAAGTTCTTTCCTCTTTGACACGTCGATCGTCATACTAGCCTCTGTCTTCGGGCTGCTCCTTTTCACTGTCGGCGTTGCTGTGTTCAAGCGCTACCCAAAGGCCTACATTACTCGTGGTGGCGCTGTGGTAATGTTCTCGTGTTATACAGTATTCATTATAGTGCTTGGTGTGCTCACCTTTACCCATGTGTTTTCGACACAGTCAGACTGACTGCCCTTCACTGCTGTTGTCGTTTACCCCTCTTAATGGCATCACACTGTTGTCATTGTAACATTGCTTTCTATCTGATAACTCAACAGCCTTGGGTTGGGGAAACTCCTGTCCAGCTCTACGACCGCTCACACCCACTCTGGCGTTCTGATGCCACCCAAGGAAGAGAGGAGCGCGTACTATATCAAAGCGGTCCTGCATCAGGCCACTGGCCTCTGAGGTCCAGAGGTAGTAATGCACTGGGATAGGGTGGGAGTCTTAAAGCCGATGGACAATGGTGAACCCGAGTACGTCTATGCAGATCGGGCTAATAAGCCTTATTGGTCTCCCCTTACGAGGCTGTGGTACTCAGGATCAGCATGGACGAGTAGTGTTAAAAATTTATGCTTAGTTCCCTCAGCTCAGTCCAGAAATTCCCTTCCCACATTATGGGGGTTTTTACACGATTTGGGAATTTCTGTATTGTCACCATGTGTGTATTTTCCCATACTGGTGACGCGGCCAGTTGTCCCGTCCAACGTTGTGTTGTGTTGGTAGTCTAGATGGTAGTAAGGTGTAGTCTGGAGTTCAGTGATGGCCTCTCCTGTCGACCTGCCGCCTCCTCGTCCCTGGAAGAGCTATCTTCTTATATGCAATGTAGGGAAGCGACAAAACTGGGGTCAACTGCTTCGCTCCGCTACTGCATTTGGAGTTACCGAAGTGTTCGTGGTTGGCGCTAAGAAGATGAAGGAACTTGCCTTGTTCGGCAACCAAGGTGACGAGAGTTTTTGACTGTCCGGATTTGCCAAAAGTTTCGCATCAGTAAAGACGGTTCAAATTGATACCATATGAATCCTCTCCAATGGACAATACCAGAATAACAATAATTATAGTATCTTATTTCATTTGATAAGCAGAATAACTCCTCGGCATTTGGTTTTACAAGTTCGCTTAGTGGAAGCGGTGAAATTTCGATGTGGTGGAGCGGTGGAAGCTGATGAGAAATGTTGATGGTGAATAGTGCAAGTCGAGCGGTGAATTGTGAGGCGGTAAATTTTCAATTTCAGCGCAGCGGTCAGCGCATAGGTACAACACTGCATGCAACGTTCGAGTTCTTCGACACAATAGCAGAGGCCAAGGAGGAGCTCAAGAGGCGAGGGATCACCCTATGTGGAGTCGAGATTCATCCGTCCTCCGAGCCCATACAGGACATGCACTGGCGTGGTGACACGTGCTTTATGTTGGGCAATGAAGGCACTGGCATGACCGATAAGCAGGTGGGTGTTCGACTCCTTTTGGCATTCACTCAGAGGTTGTGTATGTGATCAGATTGCCGCCTGTGACCAGTTCACGTACATTCAGCAGTACACAAAGGCCACTGCTTCCCTCAACGTGGCAGTCGCGGGTTCGATCGTATTGCATCATTTCGCCTTGGCCTCGGGAATGCCCGTGGCGGAGCGGAAGGGTCAGAAATTTGTCACAGACGAGGGTCGGGGTAAACTCGACAGATATGAGCATCCTACCGATTACGAGCAGCAAGTCATTGAGGAGAAGAGGCGCTTGCGGGCAGCTAAACGGCAGAAGGAAGCCGTAGCGCCAGCTGATGATGATGGCAAGACAGCTTAATACGTTGTACAGTGTTCGATAGTGGGGCTTTTGTTGATAAAGGAGTGGTATGACACTGAACGCGATACGGTAACGACCAAAATATCACACATTCATGGTACTGTAAGGAGTCCTCTAGAGGATAGTAGTTGCTGATAGGAAAAGGTGCAAGAACGCGGCTTTGGTGATGCTCACATTTGGATTTTCTGAGGTGCTCGCGCTTCTTCTGGCGGTGACTTCTGTGCGGCTTTGAACCGCAGTCGTCGTGGGTATGATCCTGAGGGAAGGTCACACGCCGGTCAAACTGAGGGAGGGGCCCACACTGGTAGTCAAGACTGGATAGGGCCGCATCCCGGACGACTTGTACATGCCTAGACAGCAGGTGCTGCCAGAGAAGGGCGTGGCGCTGTCTCGTAGAGCCAATCTTGATCGATCTGGTTGTATCGTATCGGGGGGACGGAAGTTGGACCTGTGATGGTATGGTACGAATAATGGCGGTGGACAACAGTGGCTTACATATATTCACTCTGAGTGAGAGCCGGTCGCCCTACATTTTTTCGAAAGTGGGCATCAGCAGCGGCGCGCTCTTTCGCGATCGCCTTAGTATAGTCAGAAAGAATATCTGCTTTGATCCAAGTGAAGGTTTGAGGGTTTGCCTGGAGACCGGGAGACAGGAAAATATTCGCTGGCATGATGATAATGACGACAGGGACTCTACAGTCAACGTGCTATACTCCCGTCCATCTCTCTACGTCCCATTGCACTGTTCCGGTCAGAATAGATAGACGCAACGCAACGATTTTCGCGTATAGATGGGGAAAATTACGGTGTTAGATGGGCAATCATATTGCCGGGCTCTACGGCCTAGGAGAGACAGTTGTGTTTACTTCCTTCGGGCACACGTCACAACTCCTGTCCGAGCGCTTTGTGCGAACGACTTAGCGAACGCCCAATTTCAAACTCATAAATTCGTCTAGTATTTAAATGCTCGCATCACTTCAAAAAGCTGCTGCTGCTAATACCGCGACTGCCGCTCGAGTAGCATCCCCTACTGCCCGTCGGTTTGCGGTGAGGCCGCTTCTTGCTATGGTTGACTCCCAAATGAATTTGTTTTTATTTCAGGTCACAGTCGCTGGCTCCGAGGCTGCTGCTAAGGAGCAATTGTCTACCGCTTACCCTCCTCTGAAGGTTGCGTGGTTCACCGCTTCTTGGTGCGGTCCTTGCAAACAAGTGACTCCTTACGTAAGTGAGAAGGACATGCACGTCTCCTCAATTCACTCTCTGTGTTACATTAGGGAGAGCTCGATTAGCTTTCGTGGTTGTCGGTGGTCAGCTTTGTCGTTTTCTTAGATCGAGAACCTTGCTAAAAACAACGATAAAGTGTCCTTCATCAAGATCGACATCGATGACTTCGATGATATGGCTCAAGAGAACAAGGTCATGTCTGTCCCTACGTTTGCTTTCTACAAGGATGGCAAGGAGGTAAGAGAGGTTCCTATCTCACTTGGTTCAACGTTCTGATATTGAGTCGCATTCTTACAAGGGCTTGACACTCTTAGGTTCAGCGCGTGACCGGAGCTGATCCTGTGAAGATTGAGGAGATTGTTAAGCAATTATGTCAGTAAATGGCTGACGAGTAAATCCAACGGTTGGTGACAAAAATTCACTCAGTCGCCCAGGATTTCTCCACTCTGGGAAACATCTCGTCAATATTATATCCTCTCGTTTCTAATCCTCCAATATCATTCCTCGTTTAATTCCGATTACGGCTGTTTTGAGTTGTACGAGTATGTTTGGAAGACGTTCGGATGAGCTTTGTGATCGATGTGAGAGATCTCGCGAGGATGTAGAGGAATGTCTTCTCTCACCTTTCTCGATGTCTATGCTCGGAAGATCTATATATACGCTGGGCAAATAATGGATATGTTAATTTGAGCGGTGGGACCTCCGAGTTCTGCAGTGAGATGAATCTTCTCATCTTAGTGCCTCGTAACAAATACCAAACCCTGTGAGGATTAGATGAAATAGTTGGTTGATTCAAAGATCCGCCCTGGTGAAGTAAAGATACACAGGCGGGATCGACCCCAGCAGATGATGAGATACGCCACAATCCTCCCGCCCTACCCACAGGATGATGGAAGTCATTTCAAAAGCCTTGTTGAAGTGTGTGCGTGAGTTTAAAGTTCCACACCGACAACACGGCTTAGTTAGACTCGCATCGATGCACATTGGCTCCCGAGTTTTAGCCTTTTCAATTGTCTATTTTCATGCTGTCAATGAGTTTTGTCCACAGGGCGAGATAACCTCTGTCAATGTACTTCCTTTCCTCGTTGAAGTGCTGGAATTCGACTCTTTATTAGCGTATGCCGATAGCAAATAGTCCACACGGTATACAGGATTACGAGCGAAAATGAAAATGCAAAAATGATGGATGAAGACGAGACCACTGAAGAAAACTCAATTCAAGTCGATAAGAAACATCTTTATCATCTCCTGCATCGCTAGGCAACACCTCGTCATTATGGACAGTAGCATCAGCAGCAGCAGGGCCGAGGGAACGAGGGGGTGGTGATAGCTCGTCATTAGCCTCTTCGGTATCCCAGGAAAACCATATCTGTTGCGGCTTTTCCTCCCAAGTGCTCACACCAGGGATCGAACCCAGGGCCTAAGGGATAACAAAATCGACGCGAACGAGTCGCAACATTGCTAACTACTGCAACAGTATGAGCCCCATGAATCAACCCAGCAAGACAAGGTATTCCCACGACTACGAAACACTTCGCATAAGGAGGTTATGAACCTCTACCATAATGCGATGACCAGGGTGAAGCGACCCAAGATGTCGTCATAGAAAAGCACGAGGTTGAAACTGTTGGATAATCGATCTTGTTAAACCATATTTGTATCAATGCACGAGGTAAGTGACATCATCTTACGCTCACTGTAGTCGAACACGGAATAGATCGAAACATACAAATGTAATTCTACATAATCAACGACGATTTCAACTGTTATGAAGTGACAGATCGCGTTTGTGAGAAACACTACTATGCAACGCTTCTCCTTACTACCGTCACGAAGTTCTTGAATCCATATTCCTGCACTGGTGCTCGCTTGCCAAAAGTCCGACGGTACGAATCAGCGAGCCTGCCCGCTGGAGAGTCCGACAGACCATGCTCCCGAACCAGTTCCTTGAGCTCCTCTATCAGCTCCGGGGGGAGACGGAACTGGCTCGCTGTTGACTTGGAGGCGTGATCTGAAGATTCCCCATGCACGCACGCACATGAGATACCCCATCTCTAGTGTTGGACCATATTTTCGCTTTCCTCAGCTGAGCTCAGGCGTTTCCTCACTAGTCATAGAAGTTCACATATGAGAAAAAAAACAAAATTTCCACAGAATTTTCATGTTGTCACCAACATATGCGTGCATGTTTCCAACCCTGCCTACCTCCCTTTGCATCCAGACGTGCCAGCCCTGATGTTGCATAGAGGCACCTTCTAGTCACCCTCACCCCTTTAGGACCATGGCCACCACTCCCTAGGCACAGGTTCGATCCCCGGCAACGACACAATATTACGTTTATTCACGGAACCTCCTTCCTTGCCCACCGTAGCTGCCATATTTTGTTCCTTGTCCTCGGCCTCCCTCAGTAGAGCCTCACAGTCAAGCATAGTGTAGTTCAACTTCTCTACAGCATCCTTCGCCACGCCCTCCGAAGTGAACGTCACATTAGCCCAACCAGCGCATCTCGTCGGATCTAATCACAATACAACGATTCCTCAAAAAAGCAAATTTACTACTAGTGTGGTATTGTCTGTAACTTGCAGAATTCAACGAAATTTCCACTGAGAAATAGCTTATTAGGAATTCAACCATACCATCGAAAGAAGCGCTCGCCAAGATCTATATCTCACTGCGAAATTCATTCAATTCTGCAAGCACACTTTACTTCGGGCGCACATGTAGAATGAACAACAGTCGAACCTGAGGACCTACATTTCCTATCCCTGCCTATATATACCCTCTCAATAACAGCAGGATCATTGCTCCCCTCAGGCAACACACCCAACACTGTCGTCTTGATCCACTCCGACGAAGCCTCCACAGGAAGGTTGTTGAGGAAAACACTGCGAGCTCTGAGGCCAGCACGCTCCCCACAACGAAGCGCCCCCAAACGCCTCACGCCTTATCCTTATCGATTTTCTTGGGTGCTCGCTGTACAGACTCTCCTTCAGCACCTTTGCTCCGTTTCGCTGCACCTAACATTAGCGATAACACATCCCCTAAGAATTTTTCCGCGACTTCAATTGACAACAACTCACACTAGAAACTACCCTCCTCTCTCGAATTGACTTCGATACTGACACTAACTCTTGGTGATAAACGCAGTCTCCAAAAAATTAGTAGTAGTAATTACCCTTCGCACGAGGATAATAACCACTACTACACATTCCACCAATACTAACCTTCCTTCTGCCGCCTTTCCCTATTCCGTTTCCTCTTCTTCGTCTCCCCGACGTTCTCTGAAGTCTGAGTGGCATCGGCGGGGGTTATCGCCTTGGTCGCTGCCTCAACCGGAATTCCCTCTTCCTTCTCCCCCAGAAGCTCCAAGACGTCCATCAATCAACACAGGGCTAAAAATATGCATTCTTGCAACGCTTCGCTCCGCCCTCCCCGAACCAAAATCCCACCACTGTGAACACAACAGACGACTGAATGTACCAGGACACCGTTATGAACAGACATGGGACACCAACTGGAAAACCTCCGACGCTACCGCTTCGTAACGTGGCCTTCCATCTCCTCGTTCGCATGCTGAAGTCTATCAGCAACCTTCGAGCTCAGCGCTATGCGAACTCTCACTCGCATTGACCGCTGGGCAACCTGATCCCACCAGAAGATATTTCAACTTCTGCAGGCCTATTTCAACTCGTAGAGAAAGCTGCCACCCCAAACATATTCACTAGAGGTCTACATAGGAACGACTATCTGATTACAAAACTCATACCGACAAGAGCCGACAGATTCCAAATGCTAGACCGCCTCCTATCAAAATTTCAAGAGGGAACACACCAGAAAGTAATCACATAACCATCCTAGGAACCTCGAAAGATACGCCTTATAGTCTTGCCTCTGCTAATTCCGGTATTGACGCCCACAGTTTCCCAGTGTGTTGGGTAATATTGATGATCTTCTGTAAATAGTGGGCGGACTTCCTCTCAAAATCAACCTAATGCACACTTCTCAAATCTCGCGTCATAGACACGAGAAATCACTTTTCCCAGCAGAGCGACTATCTGCGCAAGCTGCTCCCTTTCCAAGACCTCCAACGACTGTGTTATTCCCCTCATAACCTTCCTAAGAACATAATTCATATCCTAGATGCTCCTACTCGGCTGCTTGTTTACGCGAACTCCACCTCTACTCGACACAACTCGCCGAAATCTGCGGCACCCATCGCTAACGTCTGGCCCTCCTCCAGCGACTCCACCAGCAGGTTGGAGAGCGACACGTTGGGGAGGACCTGAGCATTTTCACACAGTCAACGGCCTCAGGAGGAGCTCATTAGCCATGAATATTTCCCCCTTTCCAGCCGACCTACTACCTGCCTCACCCTAGGCCCCAAGAGATATTCCGCTTGGCCGTAGAAGAGACCCTGCGTGAGCTCAAATAGCGGGATGTTCTCGAATACTCGCACCTGGTAGCAAGACGTATCGGCGACTATCGACTGGAATCAATAGCCCTTCCACACATATGAGAATCCCCAAAGTTGCAGCGTTATTCATAGTCGCTGATACTCCCCTTTCCGAACCTCGCAAGAGTCGCATGCACGCCAATACGATGAGGTTTATATCATCAACATAGAGAAACAGCTGCCCTCCAAGAAGCCCAGCCGCGCAATCTTGGGAACGTTGAATCGAACATTTATCCCAGCCGATCGCGCTCAGTTGCTCAACAGAAGAGCATGGCCTTCGGCAACTTACCGCATCGGGGTCAACAACATCGTCATCATCCTCTCCTCTTCCTCCTGTCCTCCATGTCGTTACCAACTTGCCGCGGATCGCGATAGTGCCCAACACTCTTACCTACGATGCGCTACGACATCTACTCTGCAAAGACGACCGACTCACCTTCCCTCGCATGACCACGAAGAAAGGCAAGGACGTGGCTTCTGGTTCGGTCACTCGGATGATAGGCACTCTAACTTCATCCGGCGCCCCTACAAGAACCCCGGTTCGATTCCCAGACATCACTATTCTCCCTTCATATATCACCATGCTCGTGCGCCTGCTTCGACGCCACATTGACCTGAAGAGCTCTCTGCACGCATACACATTCCCAATATTGTTATCACATCTCCATCCGACCGTTGGTTCCCTATGGAAACCCACGAGCTTCGTGACCTATATATGCACCTTCCCGGGCGGTATCTCCTCTGTTCCCAAGCACCTGGCGAATTCCCAAAATTATGGTATAAAAAATCCTGCTACCCACCTATAGTGCTCCACAGTGTTCGAGTTGACAGAGAACAAAAGGGACTACACAACGATAAGAAGTCTACTATTCGGTTTTCCTCCAAAATCCTGCAACAACAGATAGGATCCGAATCATTTCACAACTAACACCTCTCACTTCAACGGAGCCGTTGCTCGTGTAAATGGCTCTCGCTGTAAAATCCCAAAAATGCAATCGTTCTTGCATACCACAGTCGCTGCCCGCGGGGCGTCATGTAGTAGGGCGAGCTCCCCAAACGTCTCCCCGGCAACATACGTTGCTACTGGTTCTTCTCCCGGTACGGGGAATATATCGACCTCCATACAGAGAATTCGATAAAAGATTTCTATGGAATTTCTCACCGCGCCATGGAATATGAGGAAAAACTCATTCCCCACCTCTCCCTTATGGCACACAACTTCTCCCTCCCGCATGCGGCGAATCTGACCATGGTGACACCAGCATCAAAGAAAATATGCACATGGTCAACTGCATAAGTTCGGGGAACTCGTATTGGTTTTTATACACCGTCACTCGAAGTCGAAGCTTCTGAGCTCAGCTGAGGAAAGTGAACTTATATTCCATCACTAGGTGACATGCTGCGAATTTTACTGCGAACATCCACGACGTACTACCTGCAGCACTTTGACCATTTCCCTCACTTGCTTCTCGGAAAAGCGCTCGAAAAAACTAAATTCCATAGATATTGCTACTTCATACCTACTAAAAATTCCAATACCAAACCACTCTGAATTCCTGTTGGCACTACACGGCATTGTAGATCGCCTCTACCTCCCTGCGCATCCGCCTGCTCACCCTTCCGCCTCTCCTCTCGATCAAGGCCAGCATGTAACGCATCGTCTAAGGCGCCCTATGCTGTATAGGAAGCAAAAGCGCACCCACCGCGAACTGCCGCGTGATGAGATCCGTCCCTCTCTTCGGGCTACTCTTGAGCTCAGCTTCCGACCATACACCTGCCATATGATGCCTCCTACACCAGTCATGACGATATACATACGAAGGTCCACGAGAGATGCGATATAATGCTCGGTTCTCTGTATAGAGCCTCGACCGGAACACTTATTGACAAAAGAGCCAGAAGATGGATGAGCCAAGAAGCATAAAGTTAATTAATAAATCTTTCACGCCGAATATCTTTGGGGAAAATTCGATGAAACTACGTTAGATTGACGCTTGTCTTTGTGCAACCGCATAAAAGTCACTGACTCAAGCCGATATCATTCTAAGAGGTCAGATCCAGTGGGACCACAAGGAGCCGTTTGTCGCATTACCTGTAGCACTAGACTTCGATGTGCACTGGGCCGGGCGGAAAAATTTAATAAGAACACCCGAATGTCCACCTGGAGTAAAATCAAGCACGTGAAGGACCGACCTCTCACCTTGAGCATTCTCTGTACGGTTATCTCTCACATCCTGCGTTTGCATAAGGCCTGATAAATCTGTCAAGGTCATCACCGCCACCAGAACTCAACCCCCAAGAGAGTCTCCAGAAAATATAAAGAATAATTCTATACTGGCTGGCCTCTCACTCTTCCAATAGCATGCGAATACCCCCCGCGACTGTCGCTATATCTGACTCGTCCTCGAGCTCCATAAAGCGCAACTTTTCCTCCGTAGAAAACTGCGGATCATCCGCCAGGTCGACGAGTCCCTGGCCGTCCAGAGCCGTATAGAACTTCTCAGGGAGCACAATGTTCGGGAAATGAATCTTGACCCAAGTGGAAACCTCTTCCTTGGGCCAAGTCTTGACCGCTGCCGCCGGGGAGGGCATCAAGGCTCGTACCATCGAGTAATAGCAGTACTTCACATCGAAATCCATATCGTACCAATAGTTCACGCCGACCGTCAGGCAATTTTGAGTCGCCGAGTGAAGCCACAAACTTGGTAGATATATAGCGTCACCAGCATCTAGCTCGATCGTTAGACACTCCGGGAGTTCCTCCGCCTCCTTCAACACCCATACCACATCTTCAGCCTCATGCTGAAGCTCCAGCGTGCCGTCATCTTGACGATGATACGTTGCAGCCGGGAATCTACCCTCACCTATGCGCGGTAGGAAACAAGGTGGCAGCAAGTTGAACACCTTTCGGCCCTTCAGACACGTAAAAATATTCTCATAGAAGTCCGAGTGGGTCGAAGAATGAGAGCGCTCGTCTCCAATCCAGAAGTTAACAGCATCCACCTTCGTCTCGAGCGTCTCGTCCAACCACTGGATCCTCTCCGGAATATACCTCCCCAACAACTCCGGTATTTCTTGTCTCAGTGAGTCGTTCTGATGGCTCAAATAGGGGATGCCTCGGTCTTCTCGACGAGACGTGATGTACTCCCAAAACTCACCATACGGTATCTTTTCCTCACAAGGCTTGGCAAAAACCTTGTTTTCCAAGACTGCATCAGCCCTGCCATTGGGCGTGAAATTGATACTCACTTCTCTATCAGCATCAACGGCCGAGCTCCAATCGACTTTGTCGATACCCAACGCCTTCGTCACCCCAGTGATAATAGCAGGTCGATTCTGCGATATGAAGTCCCTATAGAAGCGAAATGGATGCTCCTTTACATCCTCATACTCTAGCCGGCTGATCGTATCTTTGTCAGGAAGCCATCCAAGATCGATGGCGGACTCGCAAACAGTGCTAACGGCTGTCTCTGCTTTACTGTTAGACATTGGTAAACAAACTAACCATCCTAGACTTGGGCCGGCCAAGGGGTCAAAAGCGCTAGCCCAGTCCGCAGTAGCCCGCGCGCGCCCCGAAAGCGAATATAAACTAGCGTTACAACTGGGCAATATCAATGTCTCGATGATTGATGAGGCTCATTGAGTTTCCCCTTGATGGCATACGTTATGATGCAGGGACTGAGATTACCTCTTGGCTGTAGTTTATCTCTCTCAGGGCTCTACACAACTGGCGCGGAGGGGAGGTCATCCGCATCAAAAATGTAATACGTCGATGAAGCCGCTTGGGTCACCAATGAACCGACGCAGGTCCGCTTCACAGATCGCGAGGAACGATCTCTGGTGGCCGAGGCGAACTCTATCCTTGAAATAATCCAGTCGCATCATGCGACTCGCATGAAGCTGTTTAGAGATATCGGGCCGATATTACCGGCCATATCTTTGAATAAACTCGCATGGTTTTGTGTGAATCCACCGGGACGCTTTTGGATACTCGCTCTGAGGTTCAGCTCGGAGGAAAACCAGAATGCCGTCATCCAGCTCCTAGTTGGCGTGAAATGAAGACGCGAGCAGCTGAACATCTTTCACGCGCCTCCCATTTTCATATCCGACTCTGCCGCGAGTTATACCAGGTTAGTATCACTAACGCGTGTGAATTGATGGTCGACGCCGGCACATATTTCCTAACCTGGGAGTACCAAGGGCTTAAGCTACCCTAGGCCTGGGTTCTCGGCCGGAAAGATGACATCCGTGTGAGGGAGATCGAGGAGATCTCCCGAGGTATAATCCACGGGGTTGCGCACTCACTACCGACCAAGGCTGCATTGACCGACTGGTGGACCATCAAGAACAGAACTGGAAGTTTCCCGATTCCGACGTTAGCTCAGCTAACTTTGCTGACGATGCCCGAGTACCTGCCGAGTTCGGGTTTCAGGTCTTGAGATCATCGTCCATGGGTGGAACAGTACTGCATAGGCATGATTCCGTCACGGAACTTCCGTGATGAATTCGAACTCATGGTCTGGAATGAAAAATTTATGATTTTTGTATCGATCTGATATGTTTGGTCGCACGTGCTTCACCCATCGAGAGCATGTGTCTCATTTTGGAGATTCCACAGTGGATGGCCTGAGTTCAGTTTATGGGCCATACGCTGAGCTCAGGCCATTTACTGAGTAGATATAATATGGCTCGATCAGTATAATTCTATTGATTTTATTCCGTTTATATGGATCGAGTTTGCAATGTGGAGAATGGCGACGTCATTATGACGTATGAGGAAGCAATAGTCACGGTCTGTGACTTGCATCCTCATATGTCATATCTTCCGTAACTTTTCCACTACTTCTGTGACTCACGAAAGTAGTGGAAAAGTTATGGAAGATATTTCGCTTGCCTAAGGTGGAAATCCCGCCGTAGAATTATTACGTTGTGCAATTTTCTCATTGAGGGTTGTCGGTCGCCCATGGAAATTCCATGATGGAATTCATGGTATGAATCTCTGCGCCGCGCAAACTGCGCGCCCAAGTAGTGATTAGTTGTCACGCGATTATGATTTGCACCTGCATAATTGCCTGCACCTGCGCAAGAGTTCGCACTGGTATAAAGTTTCGCGCCCGTTCGACCTTTCGGCGAAAGGCGAAAAGTACGCATATCAATGCGACAGTCGCATTGATATGAGTACGGTTGACCGGTAGTCACTCCCGATTGACAATCGACGATTGTGGGAGTTCCGTGTAAACTGGTGAATGACTCGCCGGTGGCATGCTCTTCAAGCTTTTCAAGTCAGCCGACAGTAGAAATTCTGATTGGCTCGTTCACTCCGATAATTCTTCACCAATCAGGATTGGTTCATCACAAGGAGCCAGTTTCAGTTTTAGTGTGGTTCTCTTGACACGATCATCAAATCTAGAATTTTGTTTCACGGCGTAGCGTAATCGAGTTAGTTTAATTGCTGCTGACCTCACGAGAGGATACAGAAGCCACTCAAACATGAGGCGCACTTTCAATCGCCATTGTCGACCATCTAGGCCAACCTGAGGTTCTGGATCCCCCTCCTCAACGTTATGCTGTGAGCGGCTCACAGTAAGCCCCAAAGCCAACGGGCACGTATATTTAATCATTGGATTCCAATAGCCATGATGCTAGCTTAGCTAGAGTCAAGTGAATTCGCTCAACTCTAATCACCGAGCGATCATCAATCAAATGCTTCTGCTATGAGCGCCACAAGTTGTGGGCCACAACGACATAGGGGTCCTGTGACAGGGCTGAAACTGTCGTATGCCGATAAATACTCTAGCAGAAGCACGATGAACCTCGGCTTGGAACACAAAGTCTGTGTCACTAACTAACGACTCAGTGAGTCGGACTCACCCGATACAGAGGTGTTCAGCAGCCCACAGGGTCGAAAGACAGAGGGT